TTAATTATTAACTTTTGTAACTATAATGAAAATATAGGGCGGTTTGCATTAATATTAGACATAACTGGTTGATGACTGTACCACCTCAGTCAACCGTGACCTGTAAAGGGCACGAAATGTTGGTTTGTTTGGAAAAACAAATATACGCGATTTAAACCTGGAAAAATAGTTTCATTTCCTATATTCCAACTACTTTGTTATGCGTAATATTTGATACTTGTTATATGTACTATAAATTTTCAATTCGTTATCGAAACGAATGTTTTAAAAATCGCTACCCAAAAGCGTGCATTAACCATTTCGTTACCTCGCAAAGATAAGAAGATCACAAAATAATTTCTTTTATGTCTTGATAAACTTCTTGATAGATTAATTTTGTCTATATCTTAACTTTAGCTAAAATAATCCAATAGCTATAAATAGAATACTAAAACACACCAGACAAATATTAACTACTGATGGTATCCACGAAAACAATAATACTATGAACACTGCAAAAATAAAGTCTTGTGATTTACACGTGTCCCACGGCTATGCCACACGGAGGGAAAGTACCTTAAATACCGTAGATAGAACATTTTACTTATAGAATACTTAATTTTGATTTTAAAAAGAATTCGAACTGCATTCAAAGGTTTTTATCGGGCATCGAACCCGCTAAATGTGAAAAAAAAAAACACCTGTAAAATTTTACTATACTGATCGGAAGCCTCAGGCATAAGGATTGTTTTCTTCTAAATAATATAGCATCTTAAATAAAAGAAAGACCATGAAATATAACATTTAATTTGAAATTTGTTTAACAAAATGCCTTTTCTCTGATTTTGACGCGCTTACAACAACTGAAATTATCATTTCTAATTACTAATCAGTACAAACTTTCTACTTATTACTTTGAACATTCACAATGAAAAGATAAATAAGTCAAGTGTAGTAGTGGAGTAGTGGAGGTCCATTGTCTCTACCTATCCCGGTGGAAGACAGGGGTAATGATATGTGGTACCTATGATATGGGTAAACAGATATACAGTGCACCGAATAGGAGGTACTGTACAGACAAAGAACCTTACTTCCTTTGTTGCAAACCACACGCAATAACAACATAAACGCTAGGATAGTGGTTTTGTAATTACGAGGCAAATACTATAACACCCAGGTTTTAACAATTTTGTCAGGTTATGTTTTTTTGCATTACACCTTTAGCTTTTCTCATTTCGGTAGAACGTTTTTAGAAATCCTTAATGTTTTAAATTTTTATTGAATTGATATTCAATTATTTTTTATGAAATTACTCCACTAGTTTGTTATAATTATTAATACAAAGATCGAACACTCAGAAAAAATTCCTTCGATCCGGCCGGATTCGAACGGACGTTTTCTAGCTGAACTTGCCAGACGCTATACCAACTAAGCCTAATCTTTAATGTTGTTTTTCTACCGTTATTAAACGTAGAATGCCAATGCAAGTCGGCTTTAACTAAAAAGAAATAGAGACTTTTTTTAACCATATTTTTCATTCATCCACTCTCTCATACTAGCGAATTAGATAAATTTATTAATTTTGAACTTTAGACAGTCAGATACAAATATCGAACAAGCACAAAAAATAAAAATTCAGTTGTAGACAATTAGGCACAAATAACTCTTGGATAAAGAAAATAAACAATTTGAGTAATCATTTATTTATTTAATAATATTAAATGAGACGAAGAAGTCGTGCGTCTGATGGTAAGCTACACGCCTGTCCATAATAGTTTCAGTGCCACTCAAAGCTTGAAATCGCAAAGATCTGAGGGGCACTGCCACTGCGCCCGTCACACTGAGACATAAGTTGACAAGTCCCATGTGCCTGAAATATTACCAGCACCCTTACCCTATAAAACGGGAACACGGTAATGCCGATATTACTGCTTGGCGGCAGAAATAGGTAAGGTGGCAGTGCTTCCCTGGACGAACTCTTTTACATGAAACTCTACTGCTATTCTATTACACTGATACAAACTTTCACGATTTTCACACATTATTTGATTTTTGAATTCGGGACTTAATCGTGCATAAAAACATATTTTATTTATCTCGACATTTTGGACGTACGAATGGTCTTCATTATTTATTTGTGCACTACCAACACACAACATTCACGATAATGGCGTAAATACGGATTTGTACAGTATTTTTCTAGTACTGTACCGATTTTATCCGTTATTCCTTTTATTTAAGTCATGAACGCTGGTTGCCTTAAAACGTCAGGACGATTCCCTTCAGCTTTCTGCCGGGGTTACCGTCTGTTCACTCTGTATTCGGTCCACTACATAATAATTTAAATTAAAAAAAATCGCAAATACACAGAACAGATATAATATAAATAAATATTAGACAACATTACATACGTTCGTTGCTCTGATCCCAAAGTAAGTAGCTAAAGCACTTATGTTAAGGAAATCGGAAACAACGACGGTACCTCAACACCCAGTACCCGAGACAATATAGAAAAGTTAGTTTTCTACACTGACCCGGTTGGGGATCGAACCCGGGATCTCAAAGATGGCGACACCATGACAATCGGTGTGCAAGCCACTCGACCACAGGGTCCGTCAAATATAAGTACAAGTTACTTTGTTAAGAGTATCTACAACATCTTTTTTCGCTTAATGGCATAAAAGTCATATGTTCGCGCCTCGGCGAACATGCCGGACGCACTGCAGTGCCATAGCAGTTCCAGCAGCATCCAGAAGATGTTACTGTTCTATACTCTTAGTGCCTTGTATGTACGCTGTGTATATCTAATTCATAGACTGCTCGAGCACATTGACTGACAAAAAGCTTTAAAAATAGCACCTCTGTATATATCTTTATGTCTAAAACAAGTAAGACAATCATCTAGGAGCTTGGCTGTCGCGTGTTGAAGAAGGGGAGAACTATAGAACAAGTGTTTCTACAGTGGGACCTCTGTAGGGTGGACCATTTGGCAAGTCTCTGGTAGTTTTTGTGGTTTTATACTATTTACGATTTCGCGCGTTATCAAAGTTGCTAACGCTTGTTAAATGTACAGGAGAAGACAAAATACACTTTATAGGCAAAACAATCTAAGACAGAATTAATTTACCAATTATAATTAAAATAATACGAAATGAAAATATTAATGACGGATCTTCCTATACTTTCATTCTCCGTCCGACATCATCCGAAACAAACTACGTCATGATGCGAATGAAGCTTCATACTAGACATTTTTTTTAATTAGGTCGAGTATTACTTAAATGACGGTAATTGTTTCGGACGAATGTCGGACAGAGAACGAGAGTAAACCCCCTAAAATGATGTCAATACTTTCATAATATAGTAATATAAACAGAGCACAGAGCGTGGCTTATATGCCTAGATAACCTCCTAATAGATGCCGCCAGTTGAAAATTTTGTACTGAACCGAGCTCACCGAATTCGGGGGAAGGCAAGAGACGCGGGGAATGCAATTAAGACGTTCTGATTCGCTAGGTCAAGGTCGAACTAGAAGTGCACTCAAATTGCAAAATTACAGTTAGTGATGGGCAACATTTACCAGTCTGTATCCAATTAGTCAATAAAAACGATAATATTGTAACACAAATTAAATTCTTCCATGCTGATCTAGAAGCAAAAGAAAAGCATGGAATATATCAGCTGCTTATGATTCCGCGCAAATCGTAAAAGCCGACTGAGGGCCTGGGTTTTAGTGGTGTTCTATATGTAGGCGACATACTGGCAACCTGTCACTATTTAGTGCACTAAGTTATACTAAAATTTAAAAAAAAAGTTTACTAATCGTGACTAAAGTGTGTCTTACTTAAAGCACTGCCTGCCCCTATGGGAGACAGGCGGGATGGTAGTATGTATGTAAATTATTGAACGACTTACGACAGCAAGATGATATTTAGGGTCGTATTCTAGACCTCCACTCAATACTCAAGTCAGGACGTGAGTATTGCTGTGAGCACTGAAAATCACACTCAAGTCCTTGCCATTAGGGTCGTATTTCCAGTGCTTGAAATCATACTTAAGTCTGCTCAAATCCTGACTTGAGCATTGAGTAGAGTTCTAGAATACGACCCTTAGATACAGAAAAATTTTTGGAATTGTAAAGGAATTGTAAGAAAACAAGGTACTTAAGTATTATAAGTTGTCGTATTTACAAAATCATAACTAATGAAATTAATTATGGCGTTAAGTATATACAATGTAAGGTGATAAAACATGAATTTTACTAATTTTACTTTCAAGGTCCCCATACTAAACGTTAACCTTGGTTGGCTCCAACGGTTTGGAATGTGCACGCAGGATGATTCGATCCCTAATAGGACCAATTCGGAAAACAATAATAATAATATGCTAGATAACTACTCTAATCACCTGGTCTTGAACTATAGTGAACCCTGTATTATGCGTACCAGAGCAATGGGATCAACACTGGGTCACTAGCCAGACTACCAAGACCAGAACAATATATTAAAGATCATTTCCCAAATTGGTCCTACAGGGAATCGAACACAATGCCAACGGATGGACAACAACTGGAGGCAGTGCCATTTCTCTGATACTTTTCCCAAGTCGAAATCGAAATTCCTAAGTTCGAGAGCGCTACTGGTTTTCTGGCACTTTATTATTATTATTATTATACTAAAATCTGTGCAACAGAAAAGTCTGTATGTAAGGTCTATCTGTGGGTAAGGAATATCTTAGAAGGAAGGTCTTGTAAGGACAACTAAACGCGGTTTACCATTCAATTTGGCTGTGTACAGAAACATAAAATAAAACGTTTGGTATTGTAAATTTTCATGGACTGCGGTTACCTCTTCTAATGAAGATGCACGTATGAGTTTACCGGTTGGGTGTTCAAACCGTAAACGTAATTATAGCAACATTCTCAAGCACTATTCAATAATGTTATATTTAAGTCTCTTCTTTAGAGTCTTGTCCTGTTTAGTCATGTGAATAATAGATAACATGGTTCAATTTTGTTACAGAAAAGAAAACTGTCCTGCATCCGAACAGAATCAGACTCAGGTTCGGACAAGCTGTCACTCCGTCAAAACGCGTCAAAACAAACATCAAGAAACTCGGCTCTGCAAAGCGAATGTTCTTCACAAGGCGACCACAAATGCCCGTGTTGTTTTCGAGCAGAAAAAAAGAGCAGATTATCCAAACAATTTCGTAGCAGCAAAGAAAAGGAATCCAGATTCTATAATGAAGTAACATTTAAAACAAACTTCAAGTACAAGAGCAGTGGACGACATAGGACACATTCTGTAAAGGATCATAATATAGAAAACAACAGAGTATCATCTTTACGCAGAGAGACAAAAACCGCGCAAACTTTAAGTTTAGTTGTAGGTGGCTTTGTGGCTTGCTGGCTACCATTTTTTGTATACTATTTACTAACACCATTTATTCCAAATAATTACGTAAACCCAGTTCTAATGTACATATTAACATGGCTAGGTTGGTTTAATTCAGCAATAAATCCTTTTATCTATGCATTTTATTCGCCAGATTTTAGAGTAGCGTTTTGGAGGTTAACTATAAGACGGTGTCAGAAAAATAAACGTTAATTAGTGCTCATTAAAGTAGTAAACTATGTAGGTAGGCTTTCAAAGAATTAACTTCTAATAAGTATATTGTAATTATAAGATAAGCTCAAATTAAGTTTTATCATAGAAAGCTATTATAAAAATTTTGTTCATGGTATATCGATTTTGTGACTCTACATTTTCGGAAAATACAGTCGCGTTCGCGTTTATATTCAGTTTTTTTGCCAGAGATCCACTTTGAGAAATATATGATCTTTGATTTGCAGAAATGTCATCAACAAAATCAAATCTCATTTTTTGCTGTTGATAAGTTAGGCTTATTAAAAAATCCGCTAGCTCCACATTTCCCGTAAATACAGTCGTGTTCGCGTTTATATTCGCT